TACTCCATTTGTGGGCAAAGCTGCGTTTCCTGCCTCTCTTCTGGCCATGTGGGTATAGCCAGGCTCCACAGGAAACCATGCCAAGACTGCCCTCTTCAAGGGTTAACTGGACACGACCAAATTTATTCTCCCATTTATGTTCCTTTACTACCTCCTCCCCAACTCCAGTCCCATGGATGACTGGGTGGCTTCTCATTCACTCCTCTCCAAGTCATCACGCACTGCTCTTCCTCCCACCACTAGCACAACTGATGAGGGTAACTCACCTGCTTCAAGTGCCACAGAGGGCTTGAGTGCAGCTGCTGCCAGCCTGGCCATCATAGGAGAGATTAATCCCTTGCTAGCAGAGATCCTTTCCATTATAGATGCCGCTGGAGCTGGAGAAGAAGTAGCCGCTGGCTCACCAGATCCTGAAATGGCCTGGGATGAGGAATCTGTAGGAGCAGATGATGTTGGATTGGTGCCAGAAGAACCAGCAGTCATCAGATTAGCTGAGCTGGCAGGAAGTGGTGTAGAGACCCGACTGGGGATGATGGGGAAGAAGGATCCAGCTGTTCCAGGAAGTGCTGAGTTGGAGAGTGCCAGGGCCAAGGGTATATTGCTGGGAAGAGCCTGGGAGAGCAGGCCAGAGATCTTGGTGGCTGGTGTCATGCTGTTGGCAGACTTGCTGGCCTGTGAGGAAGCAAGCTCAGCAGCAGAGGAGGGTGCAGCTGGGACTATGAGAGAAACGGAAGACTGTTGACTGGTGGGGGAGGCACTCAGGCTGGAGTTCTTCGAGCTCATAGCGGAGAAGTCAATAAGGTCATCATTACTGGACTCCTCTTGCTCATTATCCTTGGAACCCAGGAGAGAGGCAGGCAAGCCCAGCACTCCTGAGCTCCGGATGTGCCGGCGCTCATGTTTGCGTTTATGGGAGGTCATCTGGCTGGTGGAGGTGAAGGTGAAGCCACAGCCTGCCCTTATGCAGTGGAAGTGGTTGGTGGCCTTGCTGTAGACACAGCCCTCATACTTGCATTCCTCATACTTGTAGAACTTCTTGAAGCCGTCCTTGGCATAGGCATCATCTTTGATGTGGTAGCTCTTGTGCTTCTCAATGTCACACTTGTTCTTGAAGGTGAATGTACAGCCAGGTCGCCTGCAAGGGCATCGAGGAGGAGAGGGTGGTTGGCTGTGTGGGCTAGGAGCACAACGCAACTGCTGTCACCTGCCTCCCTCTGGGATAAGGACTGGGGCCAGTATGAGACAATGGCCCTGGCTGCAAAGGGGTTGAGGAGCTTTATGCGGATTAATCCGTGACACCAAGGCAAGCAAAAATGCTGCCATGTGAGAGAGCTGGGAAGCTCACTCCACTCTGAGGAACAGCCACAATAACATGGGGATGCAGGCACCCACCACTAAAAGTTCCAACCGAAACAGCAGCTAAAGGGGACTAAGGTACAAACTGTGCTTTCCTACTCTTCCTGAGAACATGAGAGATCAATTGAAGAGCATTTGTGTAAGAAGGCAGAGTCTGGCCCTGAAAGGGATGAGCTGGCTGACTGTTGGCTGGAGAGAGCTCTAGCATGGAAGTGCCATTAGCAGTATATTAATGGCCTACTTCAGTCGAACTCTGAAGAGCACTGTGATCTCTTTCCCAAATGATTCTAGGATGTATTTTCTAGTGGGTACACTTCCCTCAGATCACCTCACTTCAGATCACACTCCTGCCTTCAGAGTGGTCTTTGGGAAGATCCTGGAAATCACATCTGCCCTGGAACATGAGTTCTCTCAAGAGCAGTACCGAGAAGGTCACAGCAGGGAAAATCAAGTCCCTGTGTATAGTCCTCCTTTTATGACTTGGCAGAAGGAGGCAAACTGATCACGCTACTCTGAGGCAGGATTCCTCCCCTTCCCTGCTGTCTCACCTGCAGTGAAAGTGAGTGGTTTTCTGCCCGTAGAACTGGCATTCCACAGTGCCGCAGTCCTCCGTGGCACGGAACCGCTGAAATCCATCGTTGATGAGCTGCGTGTTCTTCTTGTGAAAGTTCTCATGGGTCATCACATCAGAGGTGCTTGTATAGACCTTGTTACAACCCACCTACCCCAGGCCAAAACAGGGAGTCATCAGCACAGCGTTTTAACAGCCTACCATTATTACCAACAATAATAAACATATGAGCAGCCACACACATTTAGTAGTTCCATTTGTGCACTTCTCCTAGGAGTATTAAGTCATCACTTTAATTCCCAGTCTAAAAACTGATAGAGCAGTTGTGGAAAAAAACCCAACTCTCTGGGCATGAAACAGTAAGAAAAAAAGGGGAGGATGCAAAGGGATAAAAGACCAGCTACAGATAATCATGCCTGCTTAGGGAGGCAGTAAGCAGGGCTCCTGCTCTTAAGGAGAAAAGAACACTGACAGATGCCATTACTTTTTGTTATCTTGGAGCGACATGGAATGAAGTAGGACTTTCATCTATTTGGGGAATACAAAATTGAGTGGGAATGAGTTATTTACCTCTTTAGTGCTTCTGGGAGGTAAGGCAGGGTGGTGCAACATGAGGCCAATCTTTTGAGCTTGTAATATACGGGTTTCATTCTAGCAAAGCATAAACCCTATGTTCAGCTGATGTTAGCAAACTGGTGACTTTTTTTCCCCTGTCACTGTTCAAGACTACCACTTCAATAATTTTAAACTCGTGCAGCAAATGGGAATGTTGTGACAAGGACGGAATGCTGAAAACCTGCCTTCCTCTGGGTAAAGCGGGCAACTTTGCCATATTGAGTAAAAAAACACTGGAATCTGAAAATGTCCTCAGCCCTGCTGAGGGAGGATTTTTTTTTTTTCTTCTCTAGCACAACATGTGCCAATGCCTGCACCATCTCAGAAGTGAAGAGAACGAAAACACCACCTCTTAGTTCAGCCCAGGTTGATTCAAACAGGCAGTAACAAAACCCATGACAAATACCCAGCAAAAAAAAAAAAAAAAAAAGGATCTCCAGCTATTTCCAATATAAAAGAGCCTCTCTCTCTCCGCACTGACACCTTGAAAAAAGACAGACCCTGCACGGCATTAAAAAAAAGAATTAAACAAAAACCTCCTTAGGAATAATTTGCAATGCAGCTCTTGGTGCTAAAGCCTAAAAAAATGTCAGTTTATATAAACAATTAACTGAATTTTATCCACACCAATTATGGACATAAAGAAAAAAAACCCCATGAGATGGATGGCACAAATTCTGCCATTTAAGCAGTATTTTCTTTAATTGGGAGTTTATATTCAGACACCTTTCCTGTAAGACACTGCTTACATGGGCATTATTTTACTGGAAGACAGTGGGCACAGGATAGAATTACCCATATATAGTTGTGTAAACGAGGGTCTCTATTCTAACTCGAAGTGATTTAGAGCTGTGAAACACTCCTCACACTCTAAAAAAAAAATTAAACAAATCCCATCCTGGTCAATTGAAGAAACTAAACAATCAATATTATGGAAGCATAACAGAAAATGTCCTCAAGAGAAAGTCACATGAAGTTCCCAATTTATCAAATGTTGTAAGCACATGCTTGAACCAACCCCTATTCAGGGCAGTACTTGAGCGCATGCCTAACATTTAAGTATGTACCTAAGCCCCATTGACTTCAGAAAGCTTACCTGACTTCACGTTAAACATATGCTGAAGTCTATCCCAGCAAAGCATTTAAGCATGTGATTAAGGCCTTGTGACTTTAACTGGGGTCTTAAAACTGTTGAGATAGGGCAGGAAGTGAGACCTGAGTTTCCAGAACAGAAAAGCTTTCACCAAGGGTTACCTGACTACTCTGTTTGTAACTAGCACATTCTCATGGCAATGGTTTAGGCCACAATTCTAATGAAACAAGTACATATCAAACCCTCAAATCTGAAGAATGATCAGGGTAAGACCCAAACAATCTGGTGCGTCCATGTCTAAAAACAGTAAAGGCATCACAGTTACATCTATGCAGCAACTCCAACTCTGCTTATGCTGCCGTTGAAGCCTGGCTGGCTCTTGAAACAAAGCTCCCAGCCTACACCACAGACAAGTAAACTCCAGTACCACTGGTGAAGGAGATGGAGAACCAGGGGTGTTAAGTCTAGATATGTGACATTAAAGTTTAATTACTTTAGAAACTGATTATGGAGGAAATTAACCCAGTGTTGAAGGGCAGATGTGTCACAGAAAAGTCTGATTTCAAGGGAGTGACAGATCAGATTTAGGTAGAGGCAGTGCAGTGGCATCGCAGAGAGGTCCCTGAATCTCGGAGAACGGGACTTGTTTGAACAAGTGAAGTCCAAGACTGTGAGAAAACCTTGAGAGCTGCTTTGCCTCACTGCATGCACAAGGCTTCTAAAAACAGAGAATGGTGCTTCTCTTCGCCCTTCCCAACACTTGGCAGGGCAAGTACTGTAAGGACAGGGCACAGACTCTTCAAAGAGATGCCTGAATCAGAAGTGAGCAAGAGAGGCTATGAATGTCACCCCTTTGCCTCAGGGCAGCCCCTTGCTCTCCAACAAGGAAGTGTTGGGCTGCCTGAACTCAAGAATCCTTTCAGTCCACCCCAAAAAGGACACAGCTCAAACTATGGCTCTTCATTTGCCTTGTGTGCTACCACTTATTCCCCAGTCCAGCTGTTACCTGCATGCAGTGGTAGTGTGTGCTTTTCCCATTCAGGTGGCAGCCATGATAGTACACGCTACAGTCATCCAAGGGGCTGAAGCGCATGAAGCCGTGCTGGAGGGAATTATCACGTTTCTTGTGCATGTTGTAATGCCGAATCACATCCTGTTTACTAGTGAATCTCTGGAGAGATACAGAGACAGACAGTGAGACACACGTGATGGGAGTGGGTGAGTAATCCTGGGGGCAGGGTATTTTTGTTGTTGTTGTTAATAAATTTATGGTACCAGGAGTTTAAATCTCAGCAGTAATCACCCCAAGAGAGTCAGATTAAAGAGGAACTGTGCGCATGTATCTTCTTGGTAAAGGGAAAGTATCTACACATGAAAAGTTGTAGAGTAAACATGACACTGGGGTGATGTGCAGAATACGCTCCCTGCAGCTTTAAGACTGCAACTCTTCTAACATAATTTTAGCTGCTACTATCTCAAGAACTGCTATAGTTAGAAAGCAAACCAGTGAACTACACAGAGAGTAATCCAAGCTTCCAAATCACTCACTGTAGTGGTTAGCAAGACACTGGCTACCACATTCATGTCAGACTAGAAACTGGGAAAAACACACTGCTCTTTTATAGTATCTTCCCATTGTAAGTCTTCTGCCTCCCCTACAAGGTAGGATGGCTTTATTAGGAAAACAGGGACACAGAACTTTCTTCCAGTCACAGAAAAAAAATGGCAGTAGAGCTTAGAGCTAAATCTGTATGACCAGAATATCCTTTTCATCGTCTACCTGTTTGAAGTTATGAAGGGGTACCCCACTGTCAGAACAGGCTGAGTGCCTTTAAAATGAAGCTTTTCATTTCTATTTCCCACAGACATCAATATTTAACAGCAAAGGTGGGAAAGTAAATCTGTTTTTTTTTAAAAGAAATCAATATCCATTTATTTTGAGGAGTAATTGAAAAGGCCTGTATTCCAATGTTTAACAACTTTTCTAGTCTGCCTCATAGGAAACAAATGATTATCGCTTCTACTCTTTCCTCCTATAATATCAATCCTGATCAATCTCGTTGGTATTGGCACAGGAATATATGGATATAGATTTCAACAGGAATCCCTTGGAGGCTGGAGGTATGATTTCCCAGGGCGTATATACAGGATTGCTATTGCCAATCATTGTTAATTTGTGCCCACTTATTACAGAGCGTTACTTATTCTAAAATATATCTCAGCCATAAAATAATTTGCATTTTAAAAAGCAGCCTAAATCCTTATTCCCTGGGAGACCAGACAGCTCCTCTGCAAGCAGCTTCTAGACTCCTTAGGAAATAATCATGAGGCCAATCATAACAATAGTTTTTTCTGTCTTCCCATCCTTTGTGTTTCTCTCTTTCTGGTACAGAGATATCCATGTCACAGTTGGGACAGACTCATCTCGATTACCAGATGCTGGGCTAGGAGGACCACTACATGCATTCCAGAGTCAAACTCTCTTTTGATCAATAGAAACCCACAGTCAAGCTCAGCAGATCCAGATCAACTTCCTATGCTGTGGTCAGACTCATTCCTTTGAGACCCAAAGGTCTCCTAGGGTAGAGCTGAAGTTGTGTCTCGTGCACAGTAGAGGCAAACTCTGGGATTCCCACTTACACACATGCAGCCTGACCACAGAAATGGCAGTGTCAAACTCACAGACCTGGGAAGAGGGTAAACAAACACAGCACGTGACTCGGCTGGCATGACGTTGCTACCCTGGCAATTCTCCCAGTAATTACAGCATCGCACATGCTCCTGCCCCCACACTTTCCCCACGAATACCGGACTGCTGCTGGTCTTATTGGGTGTTTTGTTGCAGATACTGCTGCTACAATGTCACTCGGGCAGCAGGAGG